TTCCTTAAACCACTTTCTTACCATCACTCTCGTCTCCCTTGCCCCTTTAACCTTTGCCTCACCCACCTGGAAAACCTGAACCATGACTCAATCCAATTTTACTTTCCAGAGTTCGCGTGCATTAGGGTGTGTCACACACACGCACACAAACACACAATCGAAGCTGTTAAGGAGATCCTCCTGCAACTTCTTACATTTTCAAAAGTCTGCTAATATTCAGACTCAGCTTATCTCATGCTTGCCAGTTTCACTGTTTAAGAAAGATTCTCCCACCAACTCCCAGAATCCCGTAAACTGCTTTTCCAAGGACTTCCATCCATTAATATCTCCTCCCTCTGTGTTGACTTTCTACTCAGCACGTAAGTAGAGTCAACTCTCTTCTATCCAAAAACACGTACACACTTTTCTCTTTTGATTTTTTTTCTTGAAGGATCTCACATTTTAGAAAAGTCCACAAATCACGATGTGATGGATTATCACACGTGAATACACTTGCACACACATAGTCCTCATTTCTTTCTCTTCTACCTTTCACTTCTTAATCCAGCTTCTTTCAGAAGAGAGATTTACTCATGGCATTTTCATTGTTTCACCCTCAATCCACTTTTGAACTCCCCCCTGGGCTTCAATCCTGGCGACTACACTGAGATTGCTCTCACCAGTCATCAATGGCTTCTTTTCCACAAACTGAAATCCTACAGCCCTTCCTTGGCTGACCTCTCGGTAGTGTCCGACAGCAGCAGCCATCCCTTTTTAGAAACACTCTCCTTTTAATCTCTTCCCAGCTCTCTAGTCAGTCAAACTTTCTCCTTTGTAGTTTGTTTTCCACTCACTCTTCAACACTTGTGAATTTGTAACCTCCAGGCTCACATATCCTGGTGCTCAAGTATATACCACAGGCTCTTCAAACTCAACATTTCAAAAAAAAAAAAATAAAACAGAATAAGAAATAGACTTAGGAAAAAAAAATAGTGTTATCCATCTTTCAATAAATAGAATTTCTACCCACCTAAGCTATAGATTTCGGAATTTTTTCTCAATTTTTCCTCTCCATTACCACCCACTGCTTATGTAAGGACAAATTGCTATTTGATGCATAACCTTGTCATAACCTTGGTTCCAGTTCTCATGACAGCCACAACTTCCTAATTCAAAGGTTGCAGACAGGCAGCCTCTGACCTCCATACATTCAGCTTGGCTTATACAGTGTTTTCAATTGTTTAAAATCTCTCCTCAATAACATAGGGAAATTTCGTAAAAATCGAGACTCATGGCTTCTCTTGCAAACCAGAAGGTCTGTAACCCTGGGTCCCGTGCACGCATGGATACAGTCACTCTAACAGAGAAGACATGGACTTGTTTATGTGGAGCAGTGCTGTTCAGGTCCCTGCAGCCCCTCCTGGCCTGTTTTTCTTGTTTATGTCACCAGGGTGGACCAAGAATGAGAGTGTACAACTTCTGTACCTAACACCTTCCTGGTTCTGAATTTTCCCACTTCCATTCTCCTGCCCGCATTGGTCCAGAAGATCTGTTCTAAAACCTAGGTCTGTACATAGCTGCTAGTTAAATTTCCTCAATGGTTAACTATCAGCTTCTCAAGGAAGTTCAAATTTTTTTGTGTGGCATTCAGGGTCCCTCATGATGTGGTTCCTGCATCCCTCTGAGTCTCATTTCTCCCCCTTTCCAAACCTATGTTTCTCCAACGACACTGAAACTGTCTGCAGTTGCCTTGATGGGCCATTTTTTCTTCCTGAGTCCACGGCCTTCCACATGTGGTTCCTTTTGCCTGAAATGCTTCCTTTCACATCACTCTAGTACACTCCACTGCCTAACTTGTCCTCCTCCCTTAAAACAGAGGGGGCCATCTGTGGCCTTTGCCAAAAGCCAGCCTGGTTTAGGTGCTCACTCTGTGTCCTCCCTCTGCCCGCCATCCACCTCCACCCTCTATGGTAATCACTTGTGTGTTCGGACCCACGATGTGAGCTCCCTGGGGCCTGGCTGGGATGGCGCTTTTAGTCTGTCATCCTAAGCACACTGTGGAGTGTTTGGAAAATAACAGGCAAGCCTGTATGTTCATAATGAATCACGCATGTAAAAGGACTTTGTAAACTCTATTATTTTATATACATGGGAGGTAATATTACTACTGTCCATAAGGAAAAGCAAAAAATGGCTTTAAATAATGTAAACATTTTAACTTACTCTACCGTAAATAAAAAGGTCTCCTAAAGAACTAGAATAAATCTGTTAAAAAAAAAATCCTTTTTCTGGCTCTGTATGTGTGTATTTGTGCATGGCTCAGGCCTGTAGACAGGAACGACAACTCCTGGTTTCTTAAAGGGATTTGAAAACATGTCACCTTTTATAGATGCATTATTTGGATCTATTTGAGGACTACATAAATTCAATAAAATAAATCAATGAGTACTAGAAATTACTAAATAAAGTCAATACTTGGTGTAGTGAGAAATCGCTGTCAGAAATACGTCTCTCATTGCTTATGTGTCTAAATTATGAGAGTTATTACAAGCAGATTTCTAAGGAAATGAATTTCGACAACTGTAGCTACTATTTGATCAGCAGTTTCCAGTTTAAGAAGTACTTTCGTGATTCCCATCACATTTCATTTGCACAATGTTGAATTAAGTAGTATAGCTTCCCACTTACAAATGAGGGGGTCGAAGGACTTCCCAGCTGCCGTCAGCTTGGAGTAGCAAGAGCTGTGACCCAGGGTGAGCTTTTCATTTGGAGGCCAGTGATTTAGCCATTACGCTCTTTTCAAACCTAACTTCTCTAAACTTTTCTGTGGTATCTAAGTCTTGGCTTGGTTCTGTGGGGAATCAAAGAAGCCTGAGGCAAATTGTGGGGCTTCCTCATTATTTGTACCCTTCAGTAGCTAAATTGTTATTACATTGTAGCTAGTAGCTACTGTCAACTACAACACACTGTGAGTGGGATCAGGTAGTTACATAATGGAGATCCACTTGCAGAAACAGCAAGCACAAAACCTTTTGTAACAGCTGTGATTTTATAAAGCAGTTATATCACAGCGGTGCACATTTTATATAGGGTTCTGAGCCTGAAAACTGAAATTTGTAGGAATTCTAAATGTCCTCCTCAGTTCCAAGAGACAATTTTGAAAAGCCAATGCATCATTGGTCACATTGTTGTGGTTTTTCAATGTCCTGTGACTTACATTACTGTACAAGAATAACAGTGGCTGTTATGATGGGGTTGATTTGTTTGAGTGACATCAAGCATAATATACTTGTTTTTTAATGGCTTCCTCTGAGTAAAACCATCTGACTCCGCTGATTTGCAGCATCACATAAAAGTATTTTAGGTTAACAATGTTATTTAATTGATGTTTTCCTGTGACTAGGGGAGAGAGGAGGGATTAAAACAAAGTATAATGCCACTCAGTTTTAGGATTTGATTAAGCTTCACGGTTAATGCCAAGTAATAATAATAAAAATGTTTGCATGTTTTATCATTTACGGGCACTCTCACCTATACATGGACAGTTGAACTCTCCAAGAAGTAGCATGGAGAGTTAAAAGGGATATTTTCTTCATAGTATTAGTTTCAAGATTGGTATTAACTCAATTTGAAGATTTTAAGAACATTAAGCATATTATATAAAA